CATCGCTGCTCCTCCCTGCCACGGCTGCTGCCCCGGACTGCAGTGTCCCGTGGGCGTGGCTGGGGCCTGCTCAGCCTCAGTCCCTCATGTAAACCACAGACGCACGGAGGGAAGAGCACTCCCTCAGTCAAGGTTTGCAAGTCAATGCACCAAGTAGCAACAGGACTCTTTATTGAGATTAAAGTTCTCCAATATGTTTGAATAAGCCAAGAGCATACAGATTTTTTTTTAAATTTTACAGAGCAACAGCCTAAAAGGCATAAAGAACAAACTTTCTCACTGACTGGCCCACCTATTTCATTGATGACATTTTTCCCATTTCCAAGAAAGCTTTTATCCTAGTGACAAGTGATCTTGCTCCAAATCACAAAATAGGATGGAAAGTTCTACCACTTGTTTAACATAACAACAAATCTCTTAAAATACATAAATATGTGTGGGCAATGCCATTTAAACCTTCAAATTTGAAGTTAATTAACCCTACTAAAATGAATATTTGGAATGCTATCAAAAAAACCCCACTGCTCCAAATCACCCACAGTTACAAAAAGGCCAGCCTGTTACATATTACATTTACAAAGGTAACTCGTAGTTAAAACAAAAAAAAAAAAGGAAAAGAAGCTGGTGTTGTGGTGTACACCTATAATCCCAGCACTCGGGAAGCTGAGGCAGGAGGAACTTCGTAAGTTTGAGACCAGCCTGGGCTTCAAAGTGAGCCCAAGACCAACCTGAACTTCAGAGTGAGACCCTGTCTCAAAAAGACAAAAAAAAAAGAAAAAGAAAAAGTAACTGCTCTTTTCAAACGTAAATGAAAGAATTGGCCTCAGAAATTATATGAGACAGGACAAGCTGTTGGATATGGCCCTGTCCCGGACCCTAGCCCTACTTATAACCAGTCGGGCAGATCTGGAAGTTGGAATCTCTCCTCTTCTTCTCTCAGTGCCTCCTCATACCAAACAGTAAAGGCACTGGGGGTGGTATCTTTGACCTTGGCCAAAAATTCCAGGACCTCCAGCTTAGTGGTTTCAATCAGGGCCCTGGGGCCCCAAAGAAACTCATACTCAGGGGGATCACTGTTAGGCACAAGCCGATTCTCAAGGTAATGCTCATTCACCAAATCTTCAGTGATGAACTTCCTAGGCTCCCCGTAAATGAGATGCTCACTCCCAGGAAACACCTCTATCCCACTCAGCACGTCCCAGATGGCCTCCTCCCTGGCACAGTTGCCCTGAAAGAAGATGACACCCAGGACGATTATCAGGATAGTGGTCTTGGGAAAGCTTGGGACATCCTCCACCGTCCCATCATAGGAGAGGCCCAGGGCAGGCATAATGATATAGCATTGGCTAGAATTCTTTGCTTTCTTCACATCAATTCCAAAGACCAGATACATGCACTCAGAGACTATCCTGAATATCTCAGGAAAGCTCTCCTCACAATCTAGGAAGACACACTGTAGCATTTCTGTATGAGTGGTCATTTCCTTCTTTCGATACTTTTGGAACAGGAACACCATCAAATCAGTCATCTTATCATTTATGGAATAACCCATCAAGGACTCAACGACGGACACTGCCTGCGTGAGGAGGAAACACTCCTCTGCAACAATACTGAAGCCCTCTGCAGAGGGACTGGATGGAGTGGTGGCCCTGGAATCAGGGGGCGAGGAACCTCCTTCAGCATCCTGAGGAAGATCTGGCACTTCAGGATCAGAAACCTCCTCTGTGCTGCCTAGGATCAGACAACACAAGAAGATAGTGGGAGGAAAGGCAGTGAGAGGCAGTCTTAGAGG